ATTAACAGTGTGATGTATCGCTGTTCTTTTCGCACAGTACCATTTGTGGAGTAATTGGTAAAACTCCAAATTGGTTGCCGTAACGTAGTGCTACGTTTTCCACGTGTTAGCAGGCTCCTGGTAGAAAAAAGATCGATTACATGGTATTACATCTTCCCTGGACGATATTGATCACGTAGAATAACACTTGCAACGGAACTCAATCGATCACGTAGTACTACGTTTCTTGCATACCAGAATTCTGTTACGTAATACAACGTTCCTTGTAAATTGACATTGATCGTACAGTACTATGTTCTTGAACAACACGAAGTGAATCACTGTCTACGCGATATCACACATCGCTACGAAACGTCGAGACGTAAATACTAATCGGACAAACATAAATCAATGGACGATAAATAAATCGAAAAATCACTGGACTCTCGTGTGATCCATAAATCACACAGTAGCGCATTTTTTCTTTTTTTTTTTCTAATTACATCGTAATACTACATTCTCAAACAATTTTATACTATAAATAACCTAATCAGCACGTGTCTCCACTCAGTTGTATAATAAATCTGCTCCCTTTTATTACACATTTTATGAAACGATTCGTTCATGCTTTTCATTTATGCTAATAGAATCTTTGCACGATTGCGATAAACGATATTCATCGAGCAATTCGTAATAAAGCACAGGAACGAAGTGAAATCGACGCCATATTGCCATTACGTATAGGATACACAGTGTGGCGACACATTTCGTACAACAGAATTCCGATACAATTGCGATAAACTATATTCACCGAGCAATTGATAATAAAGCAAAGAAACCACAGAATATCGCAGTTACATATACCACGGTACATAGCGTGAGTACATACTTACGCTGACACAATTTTCACACGCTCGTAATAAGCCGCATCCAGTGGCTAACAAGGACCAAAACAAAAAGCTAACCACAAACCGCGCAATACTACACTTACATATCCACTCGGCGAGATAATTTTCACATAATCGCGAGCGATCTCACTTACTCGCTGCCGACGATGAAACAAAGATACAACAGCCTTTGATACTGCATACAACAATAACACATCCTTTCCTGTGCCACCGCAGTCACCGAAAACAATCATCGCCACGATCTAGCACGAGGGAAATGCAAAGCGCGCTGCCAGGACCATCTGGCGCCCGACTTCGGTATCTCGAGTTCCCACTAATCTCTATAGATGGCACCAGCGCCGATTACCACAGATAGCGTGTCCCGATGCGATCTCACGGTAACCGGACGAAGATCGAGGAAGTTTCGAAAGGGCTCCGGAATTAGAGCAACAATAAGAACGATAACGACGAAGGTCTCGGCTGAGTATCGGGCCGTTGCCGGTCTAAATTGGAAAAGTTGCCGAGATTGGCCGCGGATTACGGGGTCAGAGATCGTTTCCCGCGATCGGGCTTCCTGTGGCACGCGCGCGTGCGCGCGCACCCGTCGCGGAAACGAAAATGGGCGCGAGCCCGCGCGCGTGCGTTACGTGTGCTGTACATACACACGATACGCACATCATCGAAACCCCTGAAACCGATCCTTAGACTCTAGACCCTGGATCGATTGGAGGCCGCGGAGAGCACTCTCGATGGGAGTTCAGAGAGCCAGGTCAATTGCCAACTAGATTCCACCTTTTTTTTTTTTCCTTTTCCTTCTTTCTTTTTTTCTTTTTCTTTTTTTTTTTTGTTTCTCTCCTGGTTTTTTACTTTGCTCTTAGGTTACTGGATTTCGGGGAAAGATCGAAAAATTTGTTAAAAAAGCGATAAGCTCTTGGTCGTACAACGGAACTTCGTTTATCTGTTTGCTGATGGAATTTGTGCCCGCCGCATGGAAATGTCGGTACTCGTTCGTTTTAATTGGTTTACCGTTTTTCAGTCGCTCGACTGACTGAATTTTTTCTCGATACCTCGATTCGACCGATTGTGAGATACAATTGATGAACCTAAGACGGTTCTACGATATCGTTGCTACTGATCAGTTAATGGTCAGTGGGGTTTTCTGTGTATCTAATTAACACGTTCTTGATCCCCTGACCCAACGTGAGGTCAGAAGTGTTCGCGGGAGAATTCGAAATCAGAAGTCGCATATTTAAAGGGTTTCACGTTGCAACTTTCAATTTTTCTGTAAATTATGCGAATTGCAAATGTTATTAAAAAATTATTAGATTGAAAATTACGATAATGAGGAACGTATAAAGTCTTCAGTGGTATTATGAGGAATACAGTATAGTTTCTAATTTTAATTTTTTTTTTTTTGCTTAACATTTAATAGCCTAATTTTGTTCTATAAATGGTACTAATACTTTTGTACAACGAGCTGAATTTTAATTTTCTTTTTTAGCTTTCTCTCTGTCATGTCGCAGTCTGAAATTTGCTAGACTGAAATTCAAAGCAGTAATTTGACTATGAGGAAAATTTAATCGCAATGCGAATCTAACTTGTTCAAACGTTCGCAACACTAATAACAGCAGGACGTGATAATAACTTGAAATTTCCACGCGGAAGCGAATATTTAGTGTATTTTCCAACAAATTTCCGCTCTATTGTGCGAGAATTCCCATTTCGCGTGAAAAATTGAGGACGGCTCGCTTGTTTGTCGCAAACTAGTCGTAAATAAGGCGGGATACGCGACGATTCTTCAATAATGCCGGTCGGATAGCCGTAAATAATTCGCGGCGCATTCGGCGCTGAAGGAAAAACGCGGCCTGCATGACTTCATTCGCGTTTCTGAAATTCAAATCGCGCCCGTCGAAGATCCGGCCCGGTCGAATTGCATGAATAATTCGATAAACGTTACTCTCTCGCGTCGAAATTTCGACGTGGTGCGCGTTTCGAATGGAAAAAAGCTAGATCCGCTCGCGTTCACCGGTTTCGCTCCGTTCTTCGGCGCTGATGAATCTTTAATCACGCCGTTAATAGTCGGCCATAAATCTTTTATCCGCGCGTTTAATTAGCCGTTTAAATCGCGATCGTTGCAACAAACAAACATGACCACGGGCAATAGCGAATGAAAATCGCGAACGGGTTTCATATTCCTTCGAAGAGCGCGAGATCTATCAAAAACTCGTCGATGATCGATCATCGCGGTTCATTTGAGTCTTTCTTTGTATTTTAATCGACTTTTTCGAATTCTCATGGCTGTTTCGGTTGAATAAACGATGTCTGTTTTGGAAAGTTTTGGAAAGCGATTCCGTGGATGTGTTATTAATCTTTCCCCAGAATTTTCAGTTTTTGAGGTTATGTTGAACGATCTTCGATTTCGTTGCTTGATAAATACTCGTAATTGTAATTATTCGGAAATAAGTATTTCGAAGTTGCGTAGAATCGAATTGTACTAGTAAAATGGGATGAAAATGAGATCAATGTTTTCATGATAGGGGAAGTTGTGCTTTGAAAACGAATTTCCTATCTTTCCCTGAAATTTTCAGTTTTTGAGTTATTTGGTGAACGTGTGTTCTTTTTATCTTGTTTATGTTGGTGGATAAATACTGTTCGTAATTATTCTGTTATTTGTACACCTCGAAATTGTACAGAATCCAATTATGGTAGCAAACGAGACCAAAACGATATTGCTATTCCCATAATACATTAGAACGAAATCAAAATAGAGCTGGTACTCCCATCGCAGTGAATAATGCACTATCAATCTCTTTTTAGCCTAACTATACCCCAAAAATTGGAAAATTTATTGTACGTAAATTATGATTTTACAAAATTTAATTTAACAAACTTAATAATAATTATACTAACTAAGAAATTTTACGAAACCTTGAAACACCCTAACTTTGTTATCAGTTGCATGATGAAAAATGTTACGAAAGAAATTTCTTAATATTTAAAAAACCAAGGAATAAAAATTGAACTTCGTTATGCTCTTGGAATAATTAAGAACGGTGTTTCTCCACCTGCAAAATTTTTGTACGTCGAATTTTTCTTTATATACTAAGGTTAATATGTTTTCATTGAAAATGAGTCGTGCTCTCTCCCTCTCAGAATGGTTTCCGCGTTCTCCAGCTTCTTTTCTTAGTGAGGACTTGGATTCCCATATCGTGCTTATGGCGCACTGTTCAGCCGAACAGTTTGCAGTTCACGTCTCGATCGATCGTGCAAGATCGATCCTTAACCTCTATCGAACGCCAGAGCCTGCCCTGAGCAGGTCTGGCCCATAAGCGGGTCTGAGAATCTTGGCCTAACAGTGCAAATGACTGATACATATATATATATATATTGTATACATTAACCTTTTTTTTTTCTTTTTTTTGTTTCATCTGTTAGAGCATTCGTAGAGTAATCATTATTATAAACGTTTTTTAGGTTACATTGACTTGTTCTTTTGTGTGCCACGTGATGCGTATTTTCTAATGTAGCATGCTTTTTGAACTGAAAACTGAAACCCGGAAGTATGAACAGCGAAGACTACTTAGGAGAGAAAAGACACTGAAATCGTTCGCGTTCAGATTCGAAATTTTGTCCCGTTTCTCGTAAAAAATTCTGTATCAACAATTTTTCAAAACTGCCCATATAAATAATTTCCACGATTTCTTAGAATTTCTACAAATTTTAATATACCGATACACGAGTCCAATATCTTACAATTAAATTACAAAACTGTAATTTAAAATTAAAATTACAAAATTTTATCCATATTTCGGGCACAGCAGCGAATAAGAATTAAGAAAGAAGGAAATGGGCAAAAGACGAGGAAAACGAGGACAGCTTCGGCTCTGAACGTGTGAACGTCAGGTAGTTTACTTGGTCCTTGACTCAGACTTTGGATAAACAATTACTATGATAGTTTTGACAATGTATTCAGTGAATTAATATTTGACGCGTTTTTGTGCAACACTCGCTTATTTGCTGTACACTACGCAACCGGAGCTTTGGATAACGAGAGAAGTTTTTAACTGAAGTGTGAACAACATCCTGGCCCCCGAAGCTGGCACGAGAATAAACCTTTGTCGTTGTTGTTGGCAGTTCCTGAATATGGCGTCGGTGTTCATGCGGATTTTTAACCTGATTTGCATGATGCTCCTAATCGGCCACTGGAGTGGCTGCCTGCAATTCCTGGTCCCCATGCTCCAAGGGTTTCCTAGTAACTCATGGGTCGCCATCAATGAATTACAAGTAAGTATCCAGGCGAATCTTCGAAATCTGACCGAGTCACGAGCTATCAGATGCTCGTCTCGGTGTATTTCATGTTTCAAATTTTCAAGGCAGGAATTGCTAATCGACCTTTCCCATTTTCCACCTGTCGAGGATTCAGGACGAAAATCAGCTTTTAAGCGTAAAAATGTAGCCAACAAAGATTCACGAATAGTAACACCGGTGTATTAACTACACGGTTATTTCGTACACACGTGTGTAACTAGGATCTGTAATTTAAAACTCTGTAGAAAATTAATCCCCAAGAAGAATAATCTCGAAGGACATTTCGTTCGGGGAAAATCTGCAGGCCAAAGCTTCTTAAAGAGAATTCGATCACGAGATTGCAAAGAATAAAGAAAATAGCGGAAGACGTTTAAACTTCTCTTGCTCTCGTCACGGATTTCTTTCCTTGACACTACCGATCTATCTCCTCGAACGAGAAGTTTAAAAGAAGAAAGCGGAGGGCTCTGAAAAACAAGAGTATGCTCAGCTCTTCCCTTTTACCATTCTTCCCTCTGCTAATGGCTTTTCCTCTTATAACGAGTCTATTCTGTCGTCATCCTCGAAGCTAGAATGCCCTGGCCAAAAAACCGGATGAACAGAGTGGTCTCTTATCCGATTTTCGTGAGAGAAGGAAACGGCAAAGATAGGATGACAGATAATCGTGACACTTGGTGTCAAGATGGTGAAGTGGACGAAGCATCACTGTCTGTAACGATCTGTCGTGATTTTTTCCAGGACTCGTTTTGGCTGGAACAATACTCATGGGCCCTTTTCAAAGCCATGTCACACATGCTCTGCATAGGATACGGAAGGTTTCCACCGCAGTCCTTGACCGACATGTGGCTCACTATGCTCAGCATGATCAGCGGTGCTACCTGTTATGCACTTTTCCTCGGACACGCCACGAATCTCATTCAGTCACTCGATTCCTCCAGAAGACAATACCGCGAGAAGGTAGTGTAAGAATATATAAGATTAGGCGAGCTCCGGTTATCGATAAGGCGACGTGAGTGAGGAGCACGTAGCAATGATAACCGGAGTATGAAATCGAAGCGTTGATCCGCTTGATCCGCGATCAATGAACAAAGGAGGCCTTAAAAGAGCATGTCCAGAAACGTACGAGACAGTGCTTAGACAGTTCCTGGACAATGCGTTGAGAGGAGTTATTGAGAGACAGTTCTTAGGAAAGAGTATTAGCAGACAGTTCTTGTTGAATATTATTAGCCCCCCTTACAGTAGTTAATATTCTGCTAGCGACCGGCGAATCGTTCAGGAAGATCCTTACTCTGTCAGTCTCCTGCTTGTCGTTAAATTTCGTCTCTTGTTCGCGTTGGAGTTCATAGTTGAATTCCTCGTGGGTAAATTAAATGGAGCTTTCGAAGGAATATTTCCAATAGATATTTTCAACGATTCGTATGGAAGCTAAATTTTTGACAGAATAGCAACGTTAGAGTTAGGTGTCTAAGACGTCGACGGTTAATGTATATAAGCAACGTCGAAATAAATATTTCGAGGAGTACGAGTTAATAATTTGCTCTCAAACCAGGTGAAACAAGTAGAGGAATACATGGCCTACCGGAAGTTACCACGAGAAATGAGACAGAGGATCACGGAGTACTTCGAGCACCGCTACCAGGGCAAATTCTTCGACGAGGAATTGATCCTTGGAGAGCTCTCGGAGAAATTAAGAGAAGTACGAGCCGGAACGAGAGACCATGGTCTACCAATTCTCTCAGTTCCAACGAATCCTAACCTATCTTCGCTTTTCGTTTCAGGACGTGATCAACTACAACTGCAGATCGTTAGTCGCGTCCGTGCCATTCTTTGCCAACGCCGATTCCAACTTTGTCTCGGATGTCGTTACCAAACTGAGATACGAAGTCTTCCAGCCAGGTATCGATTATTTAGCTCGATCGTTAGAATTAACGATAATCTCGCAACTTGGCGAAAGTTCGTGTAATACACTGAACTTTAGGATCCAATAAGCTCGAAATGCTACTGCCTCCGATACAAACGTGTCACGAACTTTGAAATTCCGTTTTGATTTTGCCAACACGAATCTCGCAGTTCTGTTATAGGAAATGTCACGAGAAATACTAGTATCAAGAAAGTCACTAATTTCTACAGTTTATTAATCGTCACGTCGTATATCACGACAGAATCGAAACGAAAAGGACTCTTACAATTAGTGCAACTTAAGAACTCATCCGACACTTTGCCAATCCCAGCAACTCGTCCCAGCAACTCAAACCTAAGTATCCTACCTACCCGATCATATATTATACCATACAAATTCTTCGTACCTACAGATTAGTTGCTTACATATCCACCAAAGAAGTCAGTCGAGAGTGAAAGCAATTAAATTAGATTTGGCTGAAAACCCTTCGGTAACACGAGAGTGATCGCGTTTTTTAGGTGATATCATCATCAAGGAAGGTACGATCGGCTCGAAAATGTACTTCATACAAGAAGGCATAGTCGATATCGTGATGGCGAACGGCGAAGTCGCGACCTCGCTGTCGGATGGCTCGTATTTCGGCGAGATCTGCCTGCTGACGAACGCGAGGAGGGTGGCCTCGGTCCGCGCCGAGACCTACTGCAATCTCTTCAGCCTCTCGGTGGATCATTTCAACGCCGTGCTGGACCAGTATCCGTTAATGCGCAGAACGATGGAAAGCGTTGCCGCCGAGAGGTATAAGCTTTGGTTAGGTTTGTTCTATCGAGTTGGTGTGCTAATAGATGTCAATCATCACTCCCACTTCCATGTTGATTTTGTTGAACATTGTGTACTGTCCGACAAAGCGAGTTCTATCAGTCATACTTATTATTATTATTATTATTATTATTGTTATTATTATCGTTATTATTATTCTTGTTATTATTATTATTATTATTATTATTATTCGTATCTAAAAGACATTTCATATTCGCTTATCTCTTCCGACATATGTATCTTTCTTGTCGTTATTTATTATTGTTATCGATTATTATTACTGATTATTATTATCATTATTGTTATCGTTCCGATATAATTTCTATCGTACTTCTCTATGCTGGTTTTTTCGACTCGATACGCTTGTTTTACATACACTTTACACACACAATGAAATGAAAAATGAATGAAAGATAGAAGCAATTGTTTGGCTCGCCGTTCTTATTTGCGATTGAAGAATCTCTCTTATCGAACATGACAGTGCAGAATCTCGTATTCTTGGGGAGAAAGTATTACAACGAAAGCGCACTAACTTGGGATCGAAGGGACGGGTATCCATTAGATACGCGTCCCCAATGAGTTGAGAGGATTTTTAACGATAATTTTTTCCTTTTTTCTTGCTCTTTTTTGATATTTTCCTCTCGCTCACGATATATCTGGTTCCCCGTTCGACGAGCGTAGTTAACCTGTTCGACGCGACGGTGGCGCCGCGAGTCGAACGGGGTTCCCCCGTAATAAACGAAAAGAAGGAAGAAAGCTTGAAACACACGCGACAAAATATCGTATATACACACTCTCGACACATTCACTTACATAGTAATGTTGTATTCATGATTTTGCTAACATACTTTTATAAATGAGTTCTGGATTTCTCGGTTTTTTGCCGCATCTCTCCGCAGAGTCACATTTCCCTTTGGTTCTAGCTGGAAGGCAAGATTCTTATGATTTACCGAAGCGAACGAATTGAAGCACTTTTATAGACATCGCTATCGCTGCAGCAAGTTTTTCTGTTTCACTTTCTGTGCACCGATATTGTTTATCTCGTTGGATCAGTTTGCGCTAGGTTTTCAACTGCTTACGTATAAAGTTCGTTGTTCACTTTGAGTTCGAGTGGCTGGACGTTTTAACCCTTCAATATGGAATGCTCGAACATTGTTACAGATTTTAAATTCAAAAAATTAAAATTAAAATTAAATTTACAAAAAATTATTCTCTCTTTGGAAAAATTAATTCACTGAAATGATAACGCGACAATCGCATATTTCGTTAATTTTTGTAAGCCTGTTTAGGGAAGGCAAGAAATTTAACAAAAGTTTGTAATGTCAACGATACTACAAAAATTGGAAGAGTTTTAATGTTGAAAATTTCAGTAATAAGAATTATTCTATTAGTAATTGAAGTAATGCGAAATTAATTTAAAAGGTAACTAAAATTGTTTATATAGTAATACATTCGTAGGAAAAATTTGCAATTGTAGAAGTCTGCTAGCCTCGTTTCCTATTCTTGAGGGGTCAAAATGTATGAATTATGAAGACACGCAAAATGTGATTCTGCGGGGCGCATTTCAAAGCTACTGACTTTCTTTTACCCAGTCTTGTACCTCACATTGTGAAACCTTTAGCGGTGCAAGTGGTATTAGAAACGAATAATACAAGTCTGTTGCAACAGTCGCGGCGGGATAATAACATTCGATTTTTTAGGGAATACCTGTACTGCTAAACGGTTTGTAAGTCGATCGATGTGAATAATCGTTGGTTGTGTTCCGTGCAACATTCCCTACGCTTAATTGTGCTTTCCCTGTAGGTTAAACAAAATCGGTAAGAATCCGAATCTGGTGGCACACCGCGAGGAGGATCTTGGCAGCGAGTCGAAAACGATAAACGCCGTGGTGAACGCGCTCGCGGAGCAAGCTGCGCATGCTAGCGCCAGTGAAGAATCGGTAAATATCGTGAAAAATATGCATTTCGATTCGCAATCGACCTATATCTCAAATATTTTTCCTTGCGAATATTTACTCCTCGATATACAGCATTTAATCATCAAAAATCATTCATCTCTGTATTGGTGACGAAAATGTAATTACTAAGATCGACGCTTCTATTTTAAAAATTTGAAGAAAAATCTTCTCCTTTCCATGGAAGAAATAAATTTGCATAGGAAATTGGATTAACGTTCACGTTTTAATTGCAGGTACACAGCATGGAGCTGAGGACTCTTCCAGCTTGCCTGTTGCCCAGACCAAAGTCTGAGAACAATTTCGCGAGCCAGGAGCTCTCCCGTGAGGGACGACGGATCTTCCACAAGAGCGACACTTTCCACAAGGACTCGTATCAATGACGACACTCGTTATACTAGCATACGGAGAGATACTAACGGCTCCATGCGCGACAGTGGCGCTGTCCACTGTCGATCGGATCGTTGGCGGCCATTTTAAGCCTAGATCCTGGACGCTACACTAGAAGCAGTCTATACATAGATATACGCCATGCCAGTAGTCTTCTAGCGATCGGTTTCTAGCGCCTTCTTATATTAACCTGACGGCACGTTCCAGTCCAGGATCTATGCGTAAAATCGCGCGGACCAAGTGTATCCCGAGGTTCTCCAACGGTGGCACAGCACGAGAGACGAGAGAAAATGAAACCTTCGTTTCGACGTAATCCCTTGTCCTTTATTTCCTCTGCGACACGTTCACACCTCAACAGCAATAAACGAAGCAACCCGACGAACGAAGAACAGGAACACCACGTGTGGAAATACCACGATCGTTTCCCTGGTGGGCAAAAAGAAAAGCTTCGAACGACGATCGATATAATTTTGAAAAAGAGAGAATCTCGAGTACGACACGAGGAAGATCGAGTCGATCGCTGTGTCATCGAACGGAGAACACGGAGCCGTTATTCCTGCCGCGGGTCTTCTTCATCGACGTCGGAAACCAAGCGAACAGAACGACACGGCGACGGACGAAGACCTCAACGACGACGAACAGCAGGCCTAGAAATTTATAGAGCGTACGTAGCCCATCGTGGACTAGGTAGAAAATCCTAAACGACAGTCTTAAACGATGCGTAATTTCTCTGTGATTTTGCAAAAGCCGACGTTTCGCACTTTAGGAAAAGAGGTGAGGTGTTGAGAGAAAGAAACGCGGGAAAGAGAATAATCTATACACGAGAACGATTAGCATTCTGTTTTTTTGTTCCCCTTTTTTTCTTTTTCTTTTTCAAAGACAACTAACTAACATAGAGGAAGGGTGAGGAGAAACGTACTCGTGAAACGAGGGATATTCCAGTTATAAGTTTGTTAACGTGTTTTGAACTTTAGCTTCGTACGATTGGATAGTCCCGTAAGAGTGATTAAACGAAGAGAGGAAGAATCAGACGAGAAGGAACGAGCAACGTTGCGATGTCCCAGAAGACGAAAGGCAATCGAAAGGGTTAATCGAAGTGAGAAGGCTGATATCTATCCTAATTTCGAGACCGATGGAGTTACGCCTCACAATTCGGAACTCGCTTCTTCGAGATAGCCAGAGCGAGAAGGAACGAGCAACGTTGCGATGTCCCAGAAGACGAAAAGCAATCGAAAGGTTTAATCGAAGTGAGAAGGCTGATATCTATCCTAATTTCGAGACCGATGGAATTACGCCTCACAATTCGGAACTCGCTTCTTCGAGATAGCCAGCGTTTTATTTTCGAAATAAAAAAAATCTAGAGAACTAAACAAACGAAGAGGAGACAAGCCTCGATTCGATTCGAGAGGGTGGCAGTTAGATAGACGCCACGTCGAATCGCGAACCACGAGTTCTTATACAATTAAATCGAAGTTTAGGAAGACCGTCCTGAGACGCGAACGGGGAAGATCCAACGTCACGGGAATCGAGATGGACGAAGAGAAAGGGAGAAAAGAGGGAAGAAATTTCAGGGACAGGAAAATGGGGGCAAATGGTCGAGAAAGAATTTAAATCGTTCTACAAAACAAAGAAAATTAATATTATAAAAAAGTCTAAATCGAAGGCCCAAAGACCGTGTTAACTTGTTGAGTGTTCTTTGGGCTGCCACGGCTAAAATAAAACGTCAATGAATGAGAGGTAAAATTAAGTGGAACGAGAGAGAGAGAGAGAGAGAGAGAAAAGTATCTTTTTATTCGGGCGAGAGACGCGATGTACTATAAGGAACGAATTAAAGATGCAAGAGAGAGAGAGCGAGAAAGAGGGGAGAAAGAGCGCGCGAGAGAGAGAGAGAGAGAGAGAGAGGAAACTATAAATATTATGTAATAAATTATTATTATTGTTACCGATTATCATTGCAATGATTATTACATCCACTACCGCATAAATGAAAATAAAAAACACTAGGCAGATTAAAAGAATAAAAAACTAAGCCGTAAATGAGAGAACAGATTACACATATTATATATATATATATACATATATACATATACATAAAATATACATATAAAGTATGCATAGTGGTCAATACCGTGTTGCAAGATATTATGTAACGTTTTAAACTGTAAAACGCGAGGAAGGGTTAAACACCGACAACACCGATACCATTACGGACAGTCTCAGACACAGTGACGATCCTTGAAAAATGTTGCTTCTCTAAATTCATTTCACCATAGGCAGAATATTTTTCGGACAACGGGAAAACAAGCAAAAGAGAACGGGATATATAATAGAGTTAAGATGAATTACGACCGAATTGTATTATTTTTCTAGCTGTTGGCGCGTATGTTTTAACGGTGTTATTCTTTGCGTCTTTGAAAGTTTAACGCGACTGTTGAATTTGTCTGATATTAGCGTATTCGTAGAAGAGAAAAGAATACTCGGTTCCGAGAAAATATTTTCCGGGTCGGTGGCTCCTGAACTCGAATCTTATCGATATATTCACCTTTAGAAATTTCAGAACATACAGAAAGCTCTCTGATTCTCGGTTCTAACACTGTCGGGCAATGATATTCGTTACTTGATATCTGCTTCGTTTCAAGACTTTCAAGATCGAATAAATTTTTGTTTAATTGGTCGTTGGAAGGGGGATATTTGGGTAATGGCAATAAACGAGATCATTGGAAGGGAAATACTTGGGCTAATGGCAGTAAAGGAGATCCAGGAACCACTGTCCCACGTGTTAACTCAACTGAACGTAGATCGCATCTGTTAACAATAATACTCTTCTTTAAACAATTTAAATGAACGCTCTAAGAGTCTAATTTATAAATAGCAACGTTGCTTGTTACTTTGAAGTATTATATATAAATATTATGTATACACACATTGACGTACACTTTTCACTGACGAACACATGCGGCGAGTGAAAGAAACGTGCCATTCGTTTCCTAGTTGAACGTGTACACCTTCGTGCATATGTGATCGATATGCATACATGTACATATATACATATATAAATATATAAATACCCACGTAAGAGTCTAGGAATATTATATACATGCGTTTCATACATATACATATGTAAACATATACACCTACACACGTGCGAGGAAAACAGAAGTACCTATTTTTCATGTAAGAGAGAGATAGTTTTCTGTCATTATTTTACATCCCCTCATGTCATCCTAAATAATACTATATTATACGCATATATATATATATACATACATATAAATAACGGTAAAATAACTAACCACGATAATTATTATTATTATTATTATTATTAGTATTATTATTATTATTATTATTATCATCGTTATTATTATTATTACTCTTATTGTTATTGTTATAACTATTGCTATCATTTCCATCATAATTATTATTCTACTATATATATATGTATATATATATTGTAATAGCGATGAGAGGACGGTTTGCGTACCGTGGGTGAAAAAGCATCCCCTCCCCAAAAAGAAAAATAAAAAAAAAAAAAAAAATGGTAGAATACTCGTAGACCGCATGACCGACGTTTTTATAGATTAATCTATATACACAAAAACCGGTCTAGGACTAATCTGCCAGCAAGGTTCGGGCCTAAGGTGTACGCGTAATAACTAATTATACAAAAAGGAAAGAAAACAATGAGAGAAAGAGAGCGCGCGCGAGAGAGAGAGAGAGAGAGAATATGAGCGATCGTGCGAGCGAGCGAGAGAGGGAGAGAAAGGGAGAGAGAGAAAGTGAAAGTGAGTAAGAATAGGATTATTGTTACTAATTGAAAACGAAGAGCGAGAACTAAGTAGAACGTGATCGATTATTACTATTATTATTATTACGATTAATTATTATAATTACGATTACAATTATTATCACGATTATTATCACGTTGATCATTCTTGTTATTATCATTCGTAGAACGAAACAATGGCAAAGTAGGAACGAAAGGAAAGGAAGTTGTATTGCTCTTTGCTATCACTGCTAAAAAGAAAAAAAAGAAAAAAAATAATGGGAAAGAGAGAAAAGCAACGCGATAGATGACTTATTTAGACACTATCTGCTAACATCGACGAAACGATCGGAGCGTGACGAGAAAGAGAGAGAGAGATAGAGAGAGTGTGCGTGAGATATGCTTTTAACGTGTGGAAAGAGATAGAGATAATAATAAGAGGAAGCGTGGGCGTGTTATGTAAAGGAATAATAAGGGGATGAAAAGTAAGCGAAAAAGGACAAAAAAAAAACAGAAATAATAATATTAGGATTAAATATCGAGCAACTGCGAACAAACACCGAGTTTAACAAAAAAAAAAAAAAAGAAGATAGAAAATCGTGCGGCTATTCGAGATGCACGTTATTTGCTAAGCGACAAGAGTGAGACGCGTAATTAAGCGAATTAACAAAAGCAAGCAAAAAAAAAGAAGAAAAAAAATAATAATAACGTAACATACGAAAAGGTTAGTTTTTGTATCGATATCGAGAGATAGGTTTCGCGAGGTAGCAGAAATATGGAAGACGATCAAGGGGTCCGGAAATCGGAAATGGTACCTAAATCTGCGCGTGTAAACAGGATTCGAGTTAGAGGAAACGATGAATGGAGTTCGATCTAAGGGGCAAAGAAAAAAAAGAGAAAAAAGAATAAAAGAGAAAAAGAGAAAGAGTAACGAGAGCCTCCGAAGAACCTTCACAGTTTTCTCGTGAGATCGATGATCATTGATGAATTGCGAGATCGTCATTCGCGGTTGAGAGATGAAGTGAATATATGTATAACACGACGCCAGAACTGTCCTAGAGCCAGAGTATAAAAAGTATACAACACAAAAAGACTGTAGCGCCATGAAATGTGTATCTCGGATCTTAACATATCAGACGTTTCGTTTCGAGCGACCACGAGTTCGTTCAAGACGAGATCTTTCGCTGGACAGCTAACCGATTACCCGTGTTTCGAAGTGCAGCACACTTTGGACGATTGCTGGTGATGGGCTAAGAATTTTCTCATTCGACGTGTCAAAATTATTGTAATTCGAGTAGAGCGAATTATCGTGCAAAAGTAGTATAATAATATGGAGTGGAATTTTTTACGCGATACTTTGTTTCCAATTTTCACGATTTAATTACATTATCTCGTCGATTAATATTTTTACTTATTCCAGTATTATTTTTATAGATTGATATGGATCGTATGATCGATAGTTGGATTTTTATTCCCAAGGAAAATAATTTTTATATTCTCAAAGAGATGAAGTCTCATAGAAAGAAGATTCGATTACTTTTGCACGAGGAACAGTCTACCAAGTCTTGAAACGTAAGGACTTTTCAGACAGAAGTTTCACCAAAGTATGGCAGCCATTACAACTTTTACTCGTATAGGAAATACCATATACACGCGTTTCTATCACTTCAAAAGCCTCTCAAGAGATTCCCATGTTTCAAGACCTTCTAGATTCGACTCGTTTCGTCTCCAAACGTAAGAATTAATTAATCCAACATGTACCGTGCAGATAATTTTATTTTTCAAATATCCTCGAGAGTATTTTCAAAATTTTCAACGAAACGGCATGAGGAATCAGTCGCCCATCAGCAAGCATGGTTCCAAGGCTATCCGGAGACCTCCTTACCCTCCAAATCTCGCAATTCACCTTACTATTGTTCTCGAAAAACCAAAAATCAAAAAAAAGAAAAAAAGAAATTCCGTTTTCAACGTCATTTGACTTGCCAGTTCAATGAGACTCCCGAGATCTGTCGAGTCGAGAGAGCATAGTCGAGCTGAACAGTAGCGGTGACACAGTGTAGACAAAACAGATGCATACACCTAGCTAAATACACTTCCGTTTCCGGTTTCAAGGATCGAACGCGACTATTATTAAAAAAAAAATGAAAAAAAAAAAAACGATCGATAATGAAGCATGCGACTGTCCAATGCCAAGTAGAATGCTAA